CTCACCCACACCCACCCCCTCACCCACACCCACACTCTCGCCCACGCCCACACCCACACTCTCACCCACACCCACACCCTCACCCACACTCTCACCCACACCCACCCCCTCACCCACACCCACACTCTCGCCCACGCCCACACCCACACTCTCACCCACACCCACACCCTCACCCACACTCTCACCCACACCCACCCCCTCACCCACACCCACACTCTCGCCCACGCCCACACCCACACTCTCACCCACACCCACACCCTCACCCACACTCTCACCCACACCCACACTCTCACCCACACCCACACCCTCACCCACACTCTCACCCACACCCACACCCTCACCCACACCCACACCCTCACCCTCACCCACACCCACTCACCCACACCCACACCCACACCCACACCCTCACCCACTCTCACACCCACACCCTCACCCTCACCCACACCCACACCTTCACTCACACCCACACCCTCACCCACACCCACACCCACCCACACACACACACACACACACTCACACCCACACCTACACCCACGCCCACACCCTCCAACTCATCTGAACTATGGCTTCCTCTCGTCATTCATCTACCTTAGACATACCCTTTCATAAGAACAACGATTATGAAATGGTTTTACCACTTTTAACAAAAACAATGAAGGGGGATGTTAACTTCCGACACAATGTGTAACTACATCTGAATTTTGACACTGAGTACTTTTCAACCTCAAAGGAACCTTACCTTCCTTTAAGGGTCATTCATTATTGAGATCCATGCATTTTCTAAGCTTTTCTTGGAACTAACTTTTATGTTTAACACAAGCTGGGGAGACAGTTGGCAGTCAGCCCGCCGTGTCCTCGTCCCTCCTGAAGGACATCCTGTCACACACAATGGCCTTGCCTCTGTCCGGCACCCTCCTCTCCTGTGGCTGTGTCCTGCACCACCTGGTAGCTTTCCTCCTCCGTGACTATGAAGTGATGTGTGCGTTTCTTCCTCACCTGTCAGTAGACCCTGGGTCAGAGCCTTGGGCGTGTAGATTTCCAGACCTGATCTTGTAGCTTGTTGCTCTGGAGTTGGTGAGCGTGTCCCCTGTGGCTGACGGATTGATCGATGGCGCTCTGCCCAGAGCTTTTCTGCCGGGGTCCAGCCCCAGCGGGTCCAGGGGTCCCCAAAGGTGTGGACGGAGTCGGCGAAGAAGGAATGACACGGAGACAGCGTTCAGTTGATCAGCAGCCTAGGCAGGATCTCTAGCCAAGTTCTAGTCAGGATCTCCAGCGAAGTTCTAGGTGCTGTGTAGGTCCTGTCTGCTAAGTTCTGTGTTCTGAGGTCTGCCTTCTGAGGTCTGCCTTCTGCGGTCTGCCTTCTGAGGTCTGCGTGCCTATTGTCTTGTTGCATCTGTATTTATACCAGTTGATTCTAATCCTATCAATCTCTATTCCAAAGGTTAGGGCGTTTCTTATCTCCATTCCAGGGAGTAAAGATTATGTAGCTTAAGCATGATTGTTCGTAGTTAAAGTGATTAATTACCCGCCTGGCAGTTAAGAGGTTTTATTCCCTCCCTAACTTCAGGGGAAAATCCCTACCTGGGGAAACAACCTTTCTCGGAGAGGTGACCTTGGACCGGCTCCCGGCACTTTTCTGTGGCTCCCGAGGGACTGGTCTCACAGATGCCCTTCAGCTCTCACCTCCCAGAGTTCCCAGATGCTCCTGGTAAAGAGAAAGCATAATTTCATGTGAAAATGTCAAGTAATTCCCACTTGTTTTCTTAAAATGTAATAACCTGAAGGGTCTCATTTCCCAACTATTCTTTATGTTTTGGACAATTTGTAAAATTCAGATTGGAAGCCCACTTGGATGAGTAAGCTGTGGACCAGCCTTGAGCCCCTTTTCAGCCTGTCTGCCCTGCCCCCCTTTGCTCTTTCCATCCTGGGGGCACCTGAGCAGCAGCCAGGGAGGGACCCACCCAGGGAGGGGCCCACCCAGGGAGGGGCCAATCCAGGGAGGGGCCCACCCAGAGAGGGGCCCACACAGGGAGGGGCCAATCCAGGGAGAGACCCACCCAGGAGGGGCCCACACAGGGAGGAGCCCACCCAGGGAGGGGCCAATCTAGGGAGGAGCCCACCCAGGAGGGGCCCATCAGGGAGGGACCCACCCAGGGAGGGGCCCACAGTGAGGGAATAGGTTTCCATTCCTTGAGTCTCGAAGCAGAGAGAAGTTGTCAGTCTTCCTGGGATGCCCCATGGGACTGGATGGAATCTCATACCCCGGGTGTAGGTGACAAACCTCTTCAGGATTTTCCCGGTAGAGCAGGCATGTGCCCCGCAGCCAACCTGCATACCGATGCCTAGCGCACCCGCCGGCAGAGTTGGCGGCCCTGTGGGGGTGTGCCTGGCCGTGGCGGCTCTGGGTGGGTGTGTTAGCACACGCGCTTGCCTATGTGAGCTGTAGTTAAGGAACCCTTGGCCCACAGCAGTGATGGTTGTGAACTGGACGGCGGGCTCCTGCCTCTTGTTGACGCTGGAATCTCCTGACCTCGGTGATTTCTGGCTCCAGATAGTTTTCTTTGTAATATTTTCTTCATGGACAGAGAAGAGAGCAGAAGGGAGAGTCAGTGGGGCAGAGGCCCTGGGAAAAGGTGCCCGTCACTCTGTCTCCGCTGCTACAAGCGTCCAGCTCCACCCTGAGAGAGCCCGCAGGTTAAGGTGGACACAGCACAGGTTCCGTGGGGTTGTTGACGTCAGTGTGGGGTGCAGTGACAGGTGTTGTTACCCTGAGGGGCAAGTGGCAGCTTTGCTTGAAAACAAGCAACGTAGTGACAGGCCTGAGCCCTTGGGTGAAGCTTGCCCTCGAGCCCCAGCCCCGCCCCTTCCCTCGCAGCAGCGGCCGCCCCTGTGTGGGCTGTGGCCGGTCACTGGCTCCTTGAGCATCCGAGGACGACTTGCACCGCGTCAGTGCCCTTAGCGCGACCTTGTCAGCTGGGGCAACCTGCACGGTCGTTCCACAGAGAACAGCTTAAGACTAACCGGGTTTCAGAAGGCCCGATGGTGGGGGAGGCGGCTTTGGGAGTTTCCCTTTCTGTTCCCCACACTTAGACACATGCCTGCTGTCCACACAGCAGGGACAAGGCTATGCGTCACCTCCTGGAGAAGACGCTGTGAGGGCCAAGCTTCTTGCAATCCCCCATGGCTCCTTCCATTTCCCACTTTCCTCTCTGCAGCAAAGGGTAGAGGAGCTTCCCACGAGCATCGTCCTCACAAGCGCCTGTGGGGCCGCGGTGTCCGGGGAGCGTGCACACCGCTCTCTGATGAAACGTGCTCGAGTGGAAGTGTCTCTGTATTTGGATGTGGACATGGACAAGTTCCCTCTCAGAATCCATTTCACACTCAGTGTATCCTGCCCCCTTAAAGATGCGGGGTTTTAATCAAGTTAATAGACTTTATTTTTTAGAGAAGTTTTAGGTTTGCAGAAAAGTTGAATATACAGTACATAGTATGCTGGGGTCCAACCCCAGCAGGTCCAGGGGTCCCCAAAGGTGTGGACGGAGTCGGTGAAGAAGGAATGACATGGAGACAGTGTTCAGTTGATCAGCAGCCTTGCCAGGATCTCTAGCCACAATCTCCAGCCAAGTTCTGTCCAGGATCTCCAGCCAAGTTCTGGTTAGGATCTCCAGCAAAGTTCTGGTTTGGATCTCTAGCCAAGTTCTGTGTCCATGCTCTCTTGCTAGGTTCTCCAGCCAGGTTCTGTCCGGGTTCAGTCACCAGGTTCTAGTCAGGTTCTCTTGCCATGTTCTATCCAGGTTCTGTAGCCAGGTTCTGTCCAGGATCTTTTGCCATGTTCTGTCTCTAGGTTCTGTGTCTAGGTTCTGTTTTCTAAGTTCTGTGTCTCGTTGTCTTGTTCTCTCGCTAGGTTTTACAGCCAGGTTGGGTCGCCAGGTTCTCCAGCCAAGTTCTGTAGCCAGGTTCTGTCCAGGATCTTTTGCCATGTTCTGTCTCTAGGTTCTGTGTCTAGGTCCTGTGTCTAGTTTCTGTGTCCTGTTGCTACATCTGTATTTATACCAGTTGATTCCAATCCTATCAATCTCTATTCCAAAGGTTAGGGTGTTTCTTATCTCCATTCCAGGGAGTAAAGATTATGTAGCTTAAGTGTGATTGTTCATAATTAAAGTGATTAGTTACCCACCTGGCACTTAGTTAAGGGGTTTTATTCCCTCCCTAACTTCAGGGGAAAATCCCTACCTGGGGAAACAACCTTTCTCAGAGAGGTGACCTTGGTTAAAACACATAGCGCCAAGAAGGTGAGCAAACATATGAAGAACAGTATGCCATATATGCCAGGTCCCTTGAAACAGCAAGGATGGACCGGCTCCCGGCAATAGTATTCTCATGTGGCCCCTCATCCGCACTCCTGGTTCCCCCATTAGTAACATCCTGCCTCGTGTCCGCATCGCTGAGAGCTGATGCAGTGTTCCTGACTGGGTCTAGCACACTCACTGATGTACACTGGGTGCCTAGTCTAGACTGGCTTTCTGTACCCTGGGGGTTTGCCCACCATTACAATGTCATACAGACTCGCTGCACTGTCTTAACATTCCCTGTGCTCTGCCTCTGTGTCCCTGGCAACCACTGGGTTTTACTGTCTCCGTGGTTTCGCCTTTTCCAGAATGTTCTGTGGTTGGAAGCATCCAGGACGCAGCCTTTTCAGAGCGGCTGCTTTCGCTTTGCCATACTCATGTAAGGTCCGCCAGGCCATGTCTTTGTCGCTGAGTAATATTCCGCTGTGTGGCTGGGCCTGCGGAAGGGCATCTCGGAGGCTCCCACGGTTTAGCGTTCGGAGTGAAGCGGCTGTGAACCTGGGCGCGGGTTTGTGTGGCCGTGAGCTCTCCATTCATTTGGGTAATTACACGGAAGGAGATGGCTGGACCCTAAGATGCCAGATTTTAAAGGGAACGTTCCCGGGGGCGCCGGCAGCTTCCGGTGCGCTTACCCGTGGTGTGTTTGCCCAGAGACGACGACCACGAGGATGGGTTCTGCCAGCCGTACCGGGGCATCGCCTGCGCGCGCTTCATCGGGAACCGGACCATCTACGTGGACTCGCTGCAGATGCAGGGGGAGATCGAGAACCGGATCACAGGTAGGCCAGCCTGTCCCTGCCAGGCCGACGCGGCCCGTGTCCGGCGGCTCCATGGCTCCTGCCACAGGAAGGGGCCTTTTTAGAAGCAATGGCCGCCGTGTGTGCCCTGAAATGCTCCTCCCGCGAGTGCGTCTGAGCTAGTGCGTGTGGGCGGCGGAGAGTGGGTTTCTAACACCCGCTGGGCCTGGGGAGGGTCGGGTGGGGCGGGAGGAGGGGAGTCCTGCTTTCCCGGCCTCACTGCCTTGCTCTGTCATGAGCTCTCGGGCAGAAACCCACGCAGGTGCCATTGAAATGCCCTCCACACTTAGGCCAACTCTGGCCTTGCCTTTACCCTCAGTCTGTAGGGTCTAAGGCAGCCGTGGGCAAACTACGGCCCGCGGGCCGGCCCGTTTGAAATGAATAAAACTATTGAAAAAAAGACCGTACCCTTTTATGTAATGATGTTTACTTTGAATTTATATTAGTTCACACAAACACTCCATCCATGCTTTTGTTCCGGCCCTCCGGTCCAGTTTAAGAACCCATTGTGGCCCTCGAGTCAAAAAGTTTGCCCACCCCTGGTCTAAGGTCATGGTCACAGAAGGGTCTGCCTGGCCCGTCGTTCCAGAGCCCCCCAAGGACAGGGCCAGGGTGGGACCTGCAGCGTCCTGGGCGCCGCCATCTTGGTCCAGTGGTGAGAATGGTTTGAAAACCTTACTGTCTCTCATTGGGGAAGTTTTTATGCCATTTAAAGCAGCACTTCTCAACCTTTTGACCACAACACGCAGTAAAAGGTATACTTTGCATCTTGACTTAGCGTGCGCACACATGTATTTTGGAGTCGAAATGTGTTACAGGAGACAGCAGTCACCCTTATAAAAGCAGTGCGCTTAGAATTTTCCCTTCAGTTTTATTTCATTAAAAGTTGGGCCCCTGCAGGTGTGGCTCAGTGGTGGAGCATCGACCCAGGCACCCAGAGGTCACCCCTTCAATTCCCAGTCAGGGCACATGCCCAGCTTGCAGGCTCGATCCCCAATAGGGAGCATACAGGAGGCAACCAATCAATGTTTCTCTCTCATCAATGTTTCTCTCCCTCTCCCTTCTCTATCTAAAAGTCAATAAAACATTAAAAAAAAGGAAAAAGTTGACCACACCCTTAATATGAACCCAGCAACCTGACACCCCCTGTTCTAATTATCTTTTGAAATGCCAGCCCCGACTCCAGAGTTAATTTTACAGTCCACTGGTTGGCAAACACTGACTCAAGGCCCCTTGATAATTGCTATAGGAATCGTTTAAAGAATTAAGCAACACAGCCATCTAATCAGACTGATCTGCCATATAGCAGCTTTATTTATTTGTTTATTTATTTATTTACAGAGAGGAAGGGAGAGGGATAGAGAGTTAGAAACATCGATGAGGGAGAAACATCGATCAGCTGCCTCCTGCACACCCCCCACTGGGGATGTGCCTGCAACCAAGGTACATGCCCTTGACCAGAGTTGAACCTGGGACCTTTCAGTCCGCAGGCCGACGCTCTACCCACTGAGCCAAACTGGTCAGGGCCATACAGCAGCTTTAGGTAAAGGTTTAGGACGAGGATTCTCCAGATGCGTGGGTTTATGAAAGGATAAACTGGAGGGCGCTCTAGCCGGCCTGGCCCCGGCAGCACTCGGCGTGGCGCTCCGTCTGGAGAGCGTGCCCACAGAACCAGTCCCGGGACTCGGGCTCCAAGGAACCTTCCGGGTGCCGTGCAGGGCGCGGGTGAGAGTAGCCAGGACCGGAGTTGTTCGATGTCCCAGCACCTGGAACCACACTTTCTGAAATGAACCCTCACTTGAGATGTCTCGGGGGCGGAGGGGAGGGAAGATCCTACAAGAGTCAGCCGGGACAGCCTGTGGCCCCTCACCCCGAGAGAAATGCCAGGTTTGCTTTCTGGGGCAGCCACCCTCCAGGCAGCACCAGCTCCGCAGGATGGGGCTGAGCAGTGCACACCTGGCTCTTGGGCCAGTCTCTGTTCTTAACTGTCACATCGGCCAGAAGTGACCGGGAGGGCGGAGGGCGGAGGGCGGCGTCACCGCACAGCACACAGGGTCTGGCAGGAGCCAGTGCCCTGCGTGGACACAGCTGTTGTCTCAACCTGTGGGCTGTTCTTCACTTGCTGTTTTACAGGCTCCGTGTGGGCTTTCATTCCCCGTGGGGTCTCCACGAACCACTTGACACGGGCCCAGGAAGGGGCTGCATGACGGGCTTTCCTACAGTAAATACCTGGGCAGGGCCCAGCACTCTGGCCCGGAGCCTGCCCTGGTGCCTGGTCCCTCTCCGGGGTAACGGGGGCCAGCAGCGCTACCTGCTGGACAAACGGGGCACTACAAGTGGGTGGAGCTGGGGCAGCCCAGGGACTAAATTCCCACAGCCCCGCAGGGTGTGTAGGGAAGGGGGCCCCTCTCTCTCTTGCTGTCCAAGGTCAGGTCCTTATGGGCAGGTCCTTTGCAGGTCAAGGTGGGTGGACTTCTGGCTGGTGCCTGCCTTTGGGCCCCGAGTGTGGCAGCCTCCCCCCCAGCCCCCCGTTCCTCCATGCCAGGTGTCAAGTTCTTCCCCTGGACTGCTTCGGCCCCATCACTCCGTCCTGGCATGTCTTGCCCCTAAAAAGCAAACCTGCAGACCCCCTTGGAGGGCTCCTTCCCTGTTCCTCCTCCTCACAGACCTCGCCCAGTGCAAGCCCGCCCTCTGCCACACCTCTCCCCGCTGCCAGCACCCCTGCCCCAGGCATCCCCTTCCTCTGCTGCCCCCGCGCCCACTCCTGGGCTGCATTGCCCAGGGCTGCTGACCGGGTATAGGGCTCCCTCCCCTCTGTCCCACGTCCCACGAAGGCCTCCACTGGCTGCTGTGATCTTGCCCGCGGGCTGGATGCTGCGAGAGAGGCCTGGCCCTTACACCTCCTCCCCAGCCTCTCCTAGTAGAAGCCGCCACCCTCCTCCCCCAAGGCCTCGTGGGGCGGCCGGCACTCCACTCGCAGAGCCCAGGTTCTAGCAGGGCCCAAGGACGTGGCCCCTGGGTCCGCAGTGGAGGCTTTCTGTCACGAAGCAGCACCAGCTGGATGGGGTCCTGAGCCTAGTTTCCCTTCTTTTTTGTTCTACCTTTGCTGCTTGTAAGTGTAGCCTAGAACCTTCTGTCTGGTTCAAATCAGGGCGGCTCGGTGTTCCCCGGGCTCAGCCCCTGTGAGAGCCTTGGTGAGTGAAGATGGGGCAGGCGCCGGCGGGCAGGGTGGAGGGGCGCCGGCGGGCAGGGCAGGGACACCCCCTGACGGTCTCCTGCTTCCCCAGCCGCCTTCACCATGATCGGCACCTCCACGCACCTGTCATGTGTTCCCGCTGTGCGACGCGCGGTCACGGGCGCCCAAGCCGCGCGAGCTGTGCCGCGACGAGTGCGAGGTGCTGGAGAGCGACCTGTGCCGCCAGGAGTACACCATCGCGCGCTCCAACCCGCTCATC